AGTCGCCCTGACAACAAGACCAAGTTGCGACAACGAGATCAACCCACTTCTATAAATCGAAAGGAGACTGTTACCATACCAGAGGCCACAACATCTTGGTCTTCACATCTTTTCTTATTTTTTCTTTTCTTTCTTGCACTTATCTAAGCTCTAACCTATTTATTCAAAAAATAGGTGATTTCCCTATCACTCAGGTAAATTAAAGTTTGTGTTTTTTTCATAATGTGCTATGCTGCACCTATCTGAGTTAAAATGTAACTCATGCTGTCGGTATTAATTAAATTTTTAAATGGACTTGTCAATAAATCAACTTGGGTTTTCATCCTTTTTGTGACCAGCACACTCCGGATTTTTTTGTTGGGGGATTCTTCCATGCCTTTCATGTCATGCTATGGAATTGTAATGCCTCTGATTAATTACTCCTTTTCTACTTTTTTATCTACTCTTGAGTTCAAATTAGTTAAATGGTTTATTGACGTCATTAATTAGCTATTTGTAATTATTTATATTTTTAGCTTATTGAGTGTACACAATGCACAAACTAAAAAGAGGTGCTGCATTTTTCATTTTCTTGTAGGCTAAACTGATATGCACTTTTAATCCTCATTTTTTATACTTGACTTACTTATCAAAACATCCAAGTGCCTAGGGCAGTCCTTTTTTTACTTAATTTGTCTTTTTTTATCTTGATAGGAACCATAATTGCTCATCACTAGTGGATCTTTTAGCTATTTGTTTCTTCATATGTAAATAGACTCTCTGCCGAAACTTGGGAATAAAAATTATCCTTAAGAAATACTAAGTCTAAACGTCTATTTATTAGCTTGATTTATTATTTATTATAATTTTAAAGTATCGTAGGCTCAAAATAGACCATTTTCTACTAAACCGATTAATTCAGTGATACATCATGAAACGAATATTATTTCTTATGACTCATTCATGTTCCAACCAGTCAGTTCTGATAGATGCCATTGCCTACATCATACCTTATGTGCATCTCAGGGGCTCTAGCTCAGTGTCATTGAATGATGCTTCCCTTTTAACTTTGAGTTATGGAGCCCGATAAGCGCATTTTCATATCTTTATATGTTCCAAAGTAAATTTTATATACTCCCCTCTTTGTACTACTCTTAAGTTTAGTCTTTTTTATTAAAGTAAATCTTTACTTTTAATGTTGGTTTGTTGCATGTTTTCGCCTCTTGGTCTGAGCATTAGAGTCAATTGTACTTAGTCATGCGTCCTCTGCCATAGTATTTCTGGTTCACAACATCGGACTTGTCACATTCTTAAACGTTTCATCGGCATCGAAGTGGGATTTTTCATTTAGAGACGCCATCGTTAGCACAGAGTTACAACTTATTAAAGTGACTAGTAAGGGCAATCTCCTTGATCTATTTTCTGTTCAGCCGTTGTCTTCACTCATCACTTCGATAAGTTGAAACTGTGCTAATGATGGCGTTTCTCAATGACGATGCTGGCCCATTTATCTATTTATACAATTCTGTGCTCTCGTTTCCCTCATTATCGGATAAAAGTATGTTGATACGGGTGGATTTTGTGAGGCATGATATTCCTGTTAGTTTCGAAACTCTGCTTATGAACGAAAAATAAGTAATGTAGTCGATTGTTATAACAAATATAACTGCTTCATTGACAATTCCACCAAAGCATGTGATATGAGAAAATGCCTGACCTTCCTTGACATCTACATCTGCCCTGTGACTCAAGGGCACTCTTGGCAATGTTACGAAGTGGATAACTTTTCGAGATTACACACTGCAGAGTCTCACTTGGGGTTTTGGGAGGTCGGAATTGCTCTCCACCCTGAATAAAAAGACCTTTTGGGAAAGCAAGGCTACACAAAATTCAATGGAAACGTCAACTATTTATATCATTGTGGCAAAATTCAACTAGCAGTATTTCATCACCTTAAACGTAATAGGGTGAATTCATCTCATATAACTTTTTTACTAGTAGTCTCGAAATTCTGTTTATAAACGAATAACAATGGTTCTCACAACCAATTCCAGCTTCCGTTTGCAGGGCTTTTTACCTTCATTAAGACCCCCTTTTTCCACCTAGCTTATCAATTGTTCGCTGCCACATTAAAATAATTGGCTGAAATCTGGCTGCTTGTGTCCCTTCGATTCCCGTCCTCGTTTATAGTATCAAGGATTTAGATCCGGTGATGTCCATGCCTAGGCACCTTCCTCTTAGGCTTCAGGCCAATTAGTATGTTATCATCTTTCCCATCTCCACCAACATCGCATCCCACTCTTTGGGGCCATTTGTCTGGCTTTATTTTGAAACGTCGATGTGAGAATCTACCACATTTATTTTCCAGGGCTGACTCGTGTGAAGCACACTTGTCTCTCAAGTTGGCAATCATATCTAAGTCTAGTGTACTAGTCAGTTGTTCATCTGTACATTGGTTGATATCTCCCAATTTTTGGTCCAGCATGCTATCAATAACCTCTTATTAAGTTTCATACCCGAGAATCTTTACACGCATATATATGCATACGCACTCACTTGAGACCTATCTTTGGTACATCCATACCTTTATACATTTACTCCCAATAGAATATAATTTACACGTTCCTGGCATTTCCTACAGCTGGACCCGCACCGGTAGCTTTTCAGGCTGATTCCAAGTTTGAATTCTATTTCTACAATCTTCTTTGCGAATCAGATATCTATATATTACATAATTACTGTTGGCTGTTGAGGTGACGTTTTGAAATTCTCCTACAAACTTGTTTATGCAGACATTAGCCAAAACGCTCAGTAGTGAGCTCATTGGCAGATCAATTATTTGTTAATAAATGCGGTCGTTTAACGTGAAACAAGTAGTTCTTGTTGTTAGGGTGATTAATTGTGTCAGAGCCTCTTCTGATTAGCTCCGTCTTCAGGATATAACCTCTCCAAAATTTCCACTAGTGCCGTGAGTGCTTTTTCTCCCGAAATTTTGATGTACATGGACTGTACAGCAAATATCATCGCTAGTTCGTTTCCTTTCAAACTTCTGCCTTTGATTTTTTGGTAAAATTCGTATTTATTCTTCACTATTTGATAATCTCTTTCATTCATCTTCTTTAATTTGAGGCAGATAAATTTCGACAGTTTATTTGTTGCTCCGTGTTTGTTTTCGATTAAGTCCAAGGTACTTTCCGACATTTTGTCTGTCATCTGTAGTTGCATGTAATCTTTCGAGGTGGAACTCAAATCATGTTTGAGCCTAGACTTAATATATGAAAACTTAAATAATTTTGTAGAGATACTGGGTTTCGAAGAATCCCTTAATAGATCGATGTTGTAATACCGTTGATTTCGATTGAATATGCAACTGAAAAGGATTCGTAAGTTGGTTTCACTGGAAGCTGTAAGGGATTGCCTTGGAGCTTTGATTTTAGATTTGTGAGAATAGGCCCTCAGCAACCCTTGCGACCTTGTGACCCCTTGAATCCTTCATGAGCTTTCGTCCGTCATGTGACGGACATTGTCAGAGTAGGACACCACGCTTAACGAGCTTCCACTTAACTTCCTACATTCATTTCTTATGTTTTTGGTGAATATCGCTTAACATGGTGTCCTGCTCTGATGATTTTCGCTATATGACGGACGAAAGCTCAGCAAATATTTATCGGGGTTGCAGGGCGGTGCGCCGAGAGCAAATTTGCTCAAATCTATAACCACAGCTCTAAGGCAATCCCCCTACAGCCTCCGGTAAGACTCACTTAGGATTCCCTTTCATTCGCCTATTCAAACGAACTGAAAGATACTCTAACATTAAAATTGTTTTCGTCTCCCTATTATATGTCGGCTCAAATTTTTGAAAAGAAGCTTGGTGCAATATATTATTGTTGAGCTTACTTCCATTTCGAGTGGAAATGTTGGATGAAGAGATTTGAAGGCCAGTTCCACCAGAGGACCACA